CATTGTTATGCAAGTATTCCCCCCAAGTCTACTCCACTATGCAGCCTTCACTCTGGACTTCAATAATGACAAGAATACCCATTCATATATCCCTTTTAAACAGTTCTCTCCCTCATCTGTTTCAATGCAATATACATCATTCCTCTCCTCCTTTTCTGTCTTCCCTCAACCCTGATGTCAGTCCCATTTTACAACAGTAAAATATTTATTTTTAAAAAATAAAATTCAAAAAACAACTTAAAGAAAATGTTTTAGTATCAATTTTTTTCTAAAGGGAAAAGAGAGCTTTTAACTTAAAATTCTGTTCAAAATTTGTATTTATACAAAAATAAATTACTAAATACTTAAATCAAAGCACTAACATATTTTTAGAAGCCACATGAGAGTGAAATGAGCATTGAGCTAAGCTGCCAGGGCTGAGGTGAAACCATTACCCTCATTCAAACTGACCCTATGACCCTAGGTTTTTGCAAATGGAAAGAAAAAAGAAAAATTGGCAGTTGTAAGGAAAAAGACAAATTGAAAGCAAATGTAAGGACTGTTTGTGACTTCACTTTACTAAATATCATACATTGTGAAATTAAAGAAAAAAGCCACTTGGATATTTCTGACAGTAAATTCAATAAATATCTTGATTCACAAGCATGTGTGGCTCTTAATAATAGTGATGTTTGAACCAATCTCTCTCATTGAGTAGAACAAGGAAACCAGTCTGATGGGATTTATTTTGGCCCAGTGTTTAGTTGAGGCCACGGTCTCAAAAGACTGCGTGGATAAATAATGTATACTGCTGCATTGAAACAGATCAGGGAGAGAACTGGTTAAAAGGGATATATTAGGTATTTTTGTCATAACAAGAGTCCAGAATGCAAGCTGCATAGTGGAGTGGACTGGGGGAGGGGGAGAGATTATATAATAATGAAAGAATCTTTTTTACTTTTCAAAGAGAAAAGTGAACTAAGGGGTAGGGGTGGGCAGGGAGGAAAATGTGCAACAATGGAATTCCAAAGTCTCTGTAAACTTTCATTAAAATTAATTAAAAAAAAAGACTGCTTGAAAAAAGTGGACAGTGTCTGGGTCTACGAGGCTCTAAGACTAAAGGGAACTGAGTCCCAGCAGCTATCCTAACCCCTGTCTCAGCAACTCATTTTGTCCCAGGCTGAGGGACTTCCTTGCTCTCTTACCTCTACATCATCATAATGGGGTGGTAACCCCTGCGACCCTGAGGGAGTGATATACACATTTGAGCCAACCAACGAGCCAAAGTAGCATTCCAGCTTCTCCTGGATCCTCCAAAGTTCATCCTTAAAAGGAAGGAGGGGAGTGGAAAGAAGGGGAAAATGTTATTAGTAAGAAAAGCAAATTTGTGGTCATTTAGCAAGTCTTTCTCATCCAATTACGTTCTAGACACTGAGGAAAAAAGCAGTCAACACACCAAGCCCCCTGCCCTCAGGAAACTGACATTGTGTGCAGAAACAGGATAGGAAAGATATGCATAGATAATAAGCAAGAGTTTGGCAAAAATGGCAATATGGAACCACTGGGGAATTTTAAGCAGGAGATTGACAAAATCCATTTTATTTTTTTATTAAAAAAAAAAAACCCAAACAAACAAAAAACAACTTGCTCTAGCTACTGGGTAGAAAAGCAACAGTGGAAGCAGAAAAGATTTGTTCAAAACTTAATGAGAGGCACTAGCGCTGGAAAGAATGGCAAGGGTGGTTGAAATGAGAGAGGAATGAAAAATCAAGATGGACTCTGGCAGTGGCTTGGAATGGGACTTCTTGATAGACTCAATACAAGGGGAAAACAAAATGGAGTAAAAGCCAAAAATACTTGGGGGCTTTTGGCTTGGATAACTGGTTAGCTTCTGGCTGGATTTATGAAAATGGAAAATACATGCTAAACAACAAGTTTTCAGAGGATTTTTTATTTTTAAAAAAGTATGCTCTATGTTGTTGTTGCTGTTGTGTGCTGTTGAGTTAGGACAGACTCACAGCTGACCTTTCGGCAGGTTTTCAGAGACCGTAAATCATACGGTGGAGATTGCTCATCTTTGCCCTGTGGAGCAGCTGGTAGATTCAAACTGCCTGTTTTGGGATTAGCAGACATGGTATGTCTGTACTACTGATCTCCTCTAGCAGAGGTGCTTTGGGATAATAAATCAGACAAGAGTAAGAAGAGCTACAGATACATTTGGAAATTCCTGCATACAACTAATACTTAAAACATAAAAAAGCAGAAATGATTACTTAGAAAGAGCACAGAGAGAAAAGGAGGTCAGGTAATGCTCCTCCCTCCATCAGTTAAGCAATTTAGTGTATAAATTAGTCAAAGGTTCTGGGGATAACCCAGATATCACTGGGAGAGAGAAGGAAATCTTACTTCCTAAGGCAGGTGAAAAGAAAAGATATAACAATTAGGCTATGTGGTAATGGCACTCCCTGGTGCTAGGCAGTTTCTCCTAAGTGTTTTACACATATTAATTACATAATCTTCCCCACAGCTCTGCCTTACAGATAAGCAATACAATTACCTCCAGTTTATAGATGAGGAAGCTAAGACACAGAAGTACACAGGTGGAAAGCTAAGCTTCAAATCCAGACAGTCTAGATATTTCCAATAATCTAAATCCAGATAGCCTAGTTCCAGGGTCTTACCCTTAACTAGGACTCTCTATCAACATTCTAAAGAATTCAAGAAAAAGCAAGCCACCTACAAAGAACACTGAGGAGTCCAAAGTTTCAGTGTCTAGCACAGGGAAAGCAATGAAACATGCTTTAAATGCCTGAAAAATAAACCAGTGGCCTCAGGTTAGGAGTCAATCCCAGCAGAAGACTGAAAATGAACTTAGAATATGGTAAAAATACCAAGTGGGAATGAACTAGGTCATTAAAAAGAAAGTACTGGGAGTCATGTTTATATATACCACTGGGCTCTTCTATTTATAGATCTCTGGGGAATAATTTACTAGCATTTAAATAGCTCCAAACACTTAACAGAGGCTAATTTATACCAGGGAGGGTTTTAGCAAAGCATTGCTCTAAATATCATAAATATATTTATATAGCAATGGCAACTACTAGAAAACAAGGCTTTCCCCCCTCTGACGGCCAGATAGGCCATTTCAGGACCAGATGTGTGGTTATGATTCCCAACCTAAATATCAGTGTCTGTAATGGAGAAACTGTCTCATGTCTTCTTTAAGGATTCAATAATCGCATCAACTATATTATTTTTTTCATTTCTTCTAAATCTCTTTAGCTTTTGAATCTGTGGGTCATAAAAGAAAGAGAGCTGGAGTCAAACCACTCCACCTCTAGTTGTAGTTAGATCCTAGATGACTTCACCTTCTTTATTTATAAAATAAAGATATTACAGCTTCTGTCATAATCTTGAGAGGAACAGCATGAAACCACTTATCTCAAATCCTGCTTAAGGTGCAAAGCAATATACAAGTGTGATTCTTTCACCATACTGACTCAGACACAAACAAGGTCCTGAAATCAATCTTCTTTATCTCAAGGTTCTGAACTATATCCAAAGACACCAAACAGGAGGCTCCTAGAATCAAATAAGGGAAGGCAGCATTCACTACTGCACTTCAGTAAAAGTTCTTAGACCTGATCTGACTCCACAGAATCAAAGCTGAAGGCTGTAATTAAGAAAACCATGCACTTGGCCTAAAGACAGCCAGAAACAAACAAACAATGCAAGCAGAACACACACACAAAAGTAAAACCACATTTCAATTAACATCTTTAAAAGTGTGGGAGGAAAATGTCTTAATTGCGGAGTAAGAAATCCTTTACCAGCTTAAAAGCTATGGGAAAGTCACAATGTCACAAACTATAATTTTTTTTCTTGTATAAAATGGGGACTACAATTGCTCCACTTACTTCAAATGCATTTAGGAGATGCAAAACTAGCAAGCATGAAAATAGTTCGTAAAGTCTAACATGCATTGTAAAACTCAAATGAGTGTTACATTTACCCTAAACTGAACCTCTGATGTATGGATTAGCCAAAGCAAGTGGGGAAACCATTTCTATGCCTCTCTAATCAGTTCCTTACTGACTGCCAGACTAAGTGGACATTCTGGGACACAATGCTCTAAGGGCTAACTGTCTTTCAATATAGCCAGCGATGAACAGCCACTCAACTTTTTGTTATTTTGTTAATATTCCCATTCACAAACAAGCACACTCAACACTAAAACTTCCCGTAATAATTTAGTCTTGAGATCCTGTGTCTAGTGTAATAGAGTAAGTAAGCTCTTGTAGCTTGAAACTCCTTCAAATACAGATGGTGGAGAGAATGTATCCTCAAGTAGCCTCAAGGCTGGATTTGGCTAGAAATAAACCCAGATGAGGAGCAAGTTAATAGGTTAAAAGAAATACGTTATAGGTACAATCCCAGGCACACAGAGAAAGGCTCTAGGGAAGATGATTCTACGTACAGAAATGATATCCACAGAGAACACCACTCATATGTCAGAAATCAACTTCCTACTGGTTTGTGATCAAATGATTCTTTTAAAAGTGTTACTTCTAATCAGATGAAAAGTCAACAGTAGTTTAGAAGTATTTGGCCCAGTGTGTCCATATTTCTTGAATTCAAATCACAAATTAGCCTGGCAAATGGTTTTTAACTTATTTTTTTGATGTCCGAGCTACAGACATTTCAACATATGATTGCCTGAGATGGAATATATAGAATGAAGACTTGTTCTACAGAATCTGAGAATACTTATACTTCACCCAGGGTACTAATAAGTTCAGAGTCTTTTAGACAAAGAGTAAGAACATTTAGTAGGTGAGTTCTAATGAGATCTAACATCAACTCTTTAGTACAATATAAGGAAACATTAACTATAATTGATGACAAAGGACCAGGAGGCATTAACACAGCCAGAACTCATTCTCTCGGTATGTAAACTCATGAGCTCTTCCTCTCCTACTGTGCTGTGATTTTGACTCAGTCATCAGTCACAGAAGGAGTTTTCTGAATGCACAAAACATTATCTAAAACTCAAAAGCTAATTCAACTTTTCTGGGTCATGTGGCATACAAAGGTCTCAAACATTCGAGAAGCCAAGTGAGTTCATCCTAACTTTCTATATTATAAATACAAAAACTGATCACAGAGAAGGTACGTTACTCTGCAAATGTCAATCACTAATACAAGAGTAAAAAAAAAAAACAAAAACAAACAATAAATAAATAGCCAATCATCCTGACTCTCACATCGAAGTTAACCCCTACCTCTGACAGTCTTCCTGAGTGCAGTTCCAGGTCCCCAGCACTCAGTGCAGCTATGGGGGTGGGGGAATGAAGTCCTTCTTGAACAAGACCTAGTATGTGATCCCATCACAGTTCTGATGCCTCTACTTAGGTCAATATAGGCAACATCAAGAAAATTATTACCTTGGTGCTCTTGTGCCTTAACTTATAGTGATAAAGACAAATCAAGCAAAAATATCTACCACAGACCACAACATAAACCAGGCCATAGAATGTAGGCCTGAAGGTATGATGTTTGCTTTATAAACTTAAGAGTATAATTTATTTTTTGCATTTTGATCAAGCAACAATGCCTAACCATGTCCACCCTCAGAAGGAGAGTCTAACAGTTTAGCTGGAATATAACATGGAATTTCTCTAAGCTGGAATCATTAAAAGATCAAGCAAGCACTTTGTCTTCTCAAACTGACAGGAGGCTAGTCATTATCTTATCGTTCATTCTTAAACTGAACTATAGCCAATATTATTCACATTTTACTATGGGGGAATTTATTACCTTAAATCTCTGAGGTTGGTGAAACTGAATTGTTGCTCTTTTCTGATCAAAATCTTTTCTCAGCTGAAGAAAGTGTGCTTTGCCATCCTTATTTAAAACCTTCTTCTTTCCATTGACACACCGGCAGACGTTTAGGTCTCTCCCATAGTACATGCCCTGGCTGCACAGACTCTTCAGATCTGTCAGCCTGAACAAGGATTGGTAATATGTGGTCACTGCAGGATCATTTCTCTGTATGAGAAGGGGTTTCTGCTCCCAGAATTCCTTGAAAAAAGTTTCTATCTTGATGGGTGAGATTAAACTTTCAAAGAGGTCACTAGGACTGTCAAAGTTCAGAGGGGACGGCACATCAGCTGTCTCCACCTTCACCTGCTTACAGGGAACAGGCTCCTCTTCCTTCCCACTCCCGGCACGCTTTGCTTTCTTTGGCATCGTTGTGTCTTCAATGCAAAGCAGTGACACTATGTAAACCTCCTACATAAATAAAACACAAAACATGTGGTGAGGTATACTAGGAAAGAAAATATCAGTGTTAGCTTGTACAAACATAGCTTGTACTTGCAACAGAAAAACTTTAAGTCATTCTATTTCCTGCAGTTGCCACCCTTGTATCAGTTTGCCTTCAATGGTGACTTGCATACTTGCTCTCATGCTGCAAGCTACATTGCCAATATTTCACATCTCAATAGGTACCCATGGTGGACTGCTTTCAGCAAAGCTTCCAGAGTAAGACAAACTAAAGAGAAAGATTTGGCAACAGACTTCTGAAAATTAGCCAATGAAAACCCTATGGGTCATAAGAGAATGATGTTTAATTGAGGGCTGTGAGGCATTTCACATTGGACACAAATGTTCATGATTTGGCAGAGGACCAGGAAATGTTTCCATAGGATAGTCACAAGGTTACCATGAATCACAGCCAATTTGTAGCAACTGGTAACCTTTCCTACAGCCTTAAATCAATGTTGTTTCTTAGGCAGCCTCCAACAACTCAGGTCACATACTTATTTAAGGGGAAAGATGGTTTCTTTCTTCTACACAACCACTGTTGTTGTATACCATTGACCCTCCAGGGGGTTTTCAGAGACTTAATTGCTTGGGAGGAGATAGCCCATCCTTCTCCCAAGGAAGAGCTAGTGAATTTGAACTGTGATCCTTCAGGATCACAGCGCAGCTTCTTATCACTAGGCCACCAGAGCTCCCTACAATGGTATAATGGTCTCAAATGTAACCATTCCATTTTCTCAGTAATTCTCAGGCACAAGTTTAGTCTGTGGCTACCAATCTAATGGAGTCAAAAGCCTTCATCACTTGGCTATTAGCACTGGTTCTAAATTTAATTAGTTGTATTCTGAGTTACAAACGTTTGATGAGGGAACTACAAAGAGGTGACCATTGCTGAGAACGCCTCACCAGCTGTCAAGGAGAGCAATGAACCTACCCTAAGGCAGTGGTGTCACCTGGTGGTTAGAACAAGGAATGCCTGCTCCTAGGGATTCCATGGCCATCTGACCCTCCTCATTTCCAAATTTCAAGTTTATTCTGGAAAATTGCCACTGTATGCTGTCACAATATGGGGACTGTAATTAATACCACAAAACAAAATCTTTATGAATGATTAAGCGGAAAACCAACTGCTCTGTAAACTTTCACTCAAAGCACAATACAAAAGTAATAATAATTTTAAAAAGAAATATGTCACTTTATTAGACCCCCCATAAAACATATACCCCTAATTCAGGACTGAAAAGAAAAAGTTAGGGATTGTTGTTATGTACCATAGAGTAAGAACGGACATAGCTGACCCTCTGGTGAGTTTTCAGAGGCAGTTAATCTCTCACAGCAGGAGATTGCCCATTCTCCTATAGAGCAGCAGGTGGCCTCAAACCAAGTGCCTTTGGGATTACAGGGCAGCTTCTTACCACTAAGTTATTAAGGACTAGGTCTTGCCAGAGCTCATTAAGGACAGTTATAGACCATTTATTTTAAAAACTGTGACTTTTGATCTGCTTGGATCTCTAAGACCAGGAGACAAATTATTGCATTGGGCAAGTCTGCTGTCAGGGATCTCTCCAAAATACTTAAGGGCAATGATGTCAGTTTGAAGACTAAAGTGCAGCTGATTCAGGCCCTGGGCTTCCCACTCATTCGCTATGCAGCTGACAGCTGGACACTGAATAAGGACGACAGAAGCAGCAATGCCTTTGAGTTACAGTGTTGGGAAAGAGTGCCGAACATCCCAAAGACTTCCAAAAGAACAAACAGATATGTCTTGGAAAAATTGCAGCCAGAGTACGTACTCCTTGGAGGCAAAGATGACACTGCTTTGTCTCTCATACTTTGGACATGTTGCTAGGAAAGGCTATTCTTTAGAAAGGGATATCATGCTTGAAAAGATGGAAGTTGAGTGAAAGAAAAGACCCACAACAAGATGGATTGACAAAGTGACTGCCATGATGGAAAAGGATAGATAAGGACAGGGTTCAGGACTGTTGTTCATAGACCACTATGGATGGTACTCAACAGCACCTTCTAAACCTTTTAAACTAATTGCCCTTCCTCCCCCCCAAAAAAACAACAACCAAACCAAAACCACCAGTACAGTCTACTCAATGGAACTGAACAACAACAAAAAAATGGTAGTCAAATAAATTCCAACTCACAACCACTGTATATGACAAAGCAGAACTGCCCCATAGAGTTTCCAAAGCTATAAATCTTTCAGTAGAGGGTCATCAAGGGAAAAGAAAAACCTCCAATGAGATAGACTGATACAGTGACTTCAGCAGTGCGCTTAATCATTGCAGGCTTGTGAGGACAGAGCATGACTGGACAGCTTTCACGCTGTTGTAATTATTAATTGTTGATTCCATTAATAATAATAGAGTGAAATTAATAAGGCTAATTTCAATTGTTAGTAAAAATAATGACATTGACTCCATTATGAATTGGAGTGCACAGATCTTTAAAGAAGTAAATTGCCCTATCTTTCTCCTCTTCTCCTACAGGTCAGGTAGTTGGGTTTGAACTGCTAACCTTTCAATTAACAGCCAAGCAAGCACTTAATCACAGTGTCAGCAAGGCTCAGCACTAAAATAAAAGACTAAAACCTTAAGCTCCAATACAGTGCTGCTCCAGTTTTACTCTGCCTCCACCAATGGGCACCTGGCTAAAAAGAGATTCTGCTTTTCTCACATCTCCCAGGTGATACTGAGGCTCCACAAACCACACTTCTGGACAGTGAGATTCCCACTCCCAAATTCAGCCAAGTCTCTTGCAGAACTGCCCTCAAACTACAATTTATTCCTGTTTATACGGCAAGAAGCTTTATCTGAGGTTCAACGATTATAATTCAAATTTTATGACTCTCTTAAAACTGCCAAATGCTACCTGATAGTACATGCTTCTTTGTTTTTTGGAAGGGAAGTTCATCCCTTTCACTAGATTCTTAAAGTCTCTCCTCCAAAAAAGGCTATGAACCACAGTGCTTACAGAAACAAATTTTCTCAAAACCCAGTAACTTATTTATGTGTTATGGTTTCCTATTTTACTTAGCTGAATATTGTTTTCTACCATTTGCCATTATAACCAAGCAGTATTTCAGCTATGCTGTGGACCGAGTAGAATTAATATTCATGGTCTGGCATCCCACACAAGCGGCTGTTTCCCTCGAACCATGTGTCATGTATGATAACAAGTAATGGTCTCATTTTAGTTTCTTAATTTTGTAACCACAAATAGTTTAGTTCTTTCAAGAAGATCAAGTGCTTCTGGTGGGAAACAAGGGACCATAGTGGAATCTAATAAAAATTGATGCCAAAGGCCTACAGTAGCAGGGCAACCATTTAAAGTTAGGTGGTGTGAGGGTGGGGGGAATAGTGGTTTTGTCTACATAAATGGAAAAATGAGACATTTTCTGAAAATGTTTCCTATTCATTTGCAATTTTAATAAAACCGGTTTGACTTCTCAAGGAAAGAGTCAAGATGTCAGTGTTACTAGTATCTGAAAAATTTAAGAAAGATCTGATTCAAAGGTTAGCCTTTTTCTGAAAGCTTAAATTTCAAGAAGTTATGCACATCACCATTAGCTGAGCTGTGAGAGTAGCTCACTACACTTAAACTAGCTGAACAGTCAATAGTACTCATGCTGAACTCTGGAAGTCTAGAGTTTGTGGGGAATGCCAAGCAAAGATTGCCTATGGGGTCAACCCCTAAAACTCCTGGGCACTGAATCTCTCATGTGCTTCCCTATCTGATATTTAACAAGTGTAGAAAGCACTTGCTAGGAGAATTAAGTGTAGCCTGTGCTAACTCTGAAGTGGCTTTGCTGGTGGTGTGGTTAAAACATTTGGGTGTAAGCCAAGTAGTTGGCAATTCATTCCCACAATTCTCCTTCCATGAGAAAAAGAAGTTTATAGTATTGAGAAATCCCATAGGGCAGGGCCTTCGTGTCTTACATGGTCGCTATGAGTAAGAGTTGTATCTAAGGCAATAGTTTCTGGTTAACTCGTCTGTAATTTTGGGTAACTCCACTGGGAATTACCCGTCAGAAGCTTGTGTCTTATCTCCCTCCGACTTAGCCCCATGTGTCACTTCCCTTTAAACTTTAAGAGATCAGCCCCAAGTGTCATTGAATTTAAGGGTGATCACTGGAACCATGAGTGGGCCCCTGGAGGAAGAATGTTACAGTGGTCCTCAGGCCTGATGACTCCTGAGAAAAACCTGATCATGTCTATCTCCTGATAAGGCAACCAGACCAAGCAACCAGATCCTGGTAAGGTTCTGGGACTGATCACAAAAGCCAACACCCAAGTTAACTGACAGGATTTCTTGCCAAATTCCCAGCAAAATACCATCTTTCCCTACCCCTCCCTAAAATCCCCTATTAAAAAGAAACGGTCAAATTTTGTAAATAAACTGTTTTGTTAAGTGCCTTGAGTCCTTAGATGACTCATAACGACCCTATGAACAAAAGAGCTGAACACTTTCATCATTTTTCCAAGTTCACAGTGCTTCTGGAGGCAAGCTATTTCAGAAATGGATGTCACTACTGCTTCCAAGCTTGTTTTAATTCAAGCATGGTTTAAACTCCATGAGTTCAAGCATTCCCACTGGCTCTCACCACCCAAAAGGGCAAGTCTGGAAGTATTCTGCTGCTTCCTCAGTTTCCAACTGAATTTAAAAACCAAGGCATGGTTTAAACTCAATTAAAAAAATAATAATAATTAGAAACTGTCTTTGAATGCCTTCCTGCCATTGTGACCATCTCCATGCATGATTACTTGGCATCTCTCTCAGATCACACAATAAAGGCCTGTTCATTTCTCAGGACCAGCTTCTTTCTTTCTCTCTCTTGCTTTCAACTCCTTTTTCTATCTATATGTTCCCTGAATTCCCAGTCATACACCAAAACCTCCTTTCCGCTTCTCTGTAACACAAGAGCCTGCCTAGAATTTTTCTTGGTC